GGGGGGGGGGGGGGGGGGGGGGGAGTTCTTTGTCGGCTGATTTTGTGTTGGAGGGGCTAGAGTGCCTCGAGGCGGTGTTGAACGAAGCAGCAGAGGGGGGGAAGGGGCGAAAACTCTCTCCGTTGTGCGTGTTTTGCCTAAGGTGGGAATCCGTTGTTGTTGACAACCGATCACCCTGGGTTGTCTTGTGGCCCACGAAGTCATTTCACTGAGGAGCGCCCCTTGCAGGGCTTGCGCGCATGTATTGTTTTCGTCTTGCGTGACTACGTGTGGTAGACTGTTGTGAAGAACGACACCGATTATTGTCTCCATCTGCCAATCAACGACGGGTTAAAACCAGAACAGCAGAGGGAGCGCGGGGGGGTCTCCGTTCCATGCAACTGTGAGAGAGTGTTTTCATGGTCCTCGCTGTATCCTTGTAGTGGTCGCGCCTGGAGCTTGTAATGTGTGGGGCATTCAACCGGCCAGGCGAGCTGGTAACATCGTCGCTCTCCAGGTTTTTGACGAGTTTCCTCGAAAGAATGAGTTGTGATTCTCCCGGCTATGCAGCAGCAGGGTCAGCAGTGTTTTCTGGGTCATGATTGAGTGAGGTGTTTCCGGCCTTGCCTGGGCGTGTCGCTTTGGGGTTTTGGGGTCGGGGGGGGCATTGCCTTGGGGCTGTTTTCCATTTTTGGCAGGTACACTACTGCCCCCCATGCCCCCCCCCCCTCCCCCGGCCGAGCTGGGGTGCCATACCCTCCAGTCTGCCGCCCCCCCGTGCAACCGCTTTCGTTTTCTTCTGCCATCCCATACGCTCACTTTTGGCTTGCAAATGACTGGTGCATTTTTTTCCTCTGCCTGACTGGCCCTGCAGGCTTAGGCTTGTATTGGCCCGCTTTCATGATTCCTAGAGTCATGTTGTTGATGGTTTTCGGTTCAGCGATCCTGTGGTACCCATGACTTTGGTCAAACTTTGTGCGTGATTGTGCATGTTTCGGAGAGTGGTAGCTTTTGCTAGTTCTGGGAGGTATAATGTTGCTAAATACTTCAGTGGAGACGGGGGAGTTTTCTTTTTTCGGTTCTTGAATCGGATCGACTGCTCTATCGCTGTGGAGGCACGGCAAAGCCCGAGCTATCGTGTTTGCCCTTACTGTGTAGCAGGAAATGCCCTCCCAAAACTTGGAAACTATTTTTCTGCCCACGGAAAGATTTGGTCCATGCGGTGTTGTTCGGACCTCGGCTCGCGCAACTGGTCATAGATATGTTGCACGGGAGGGAGGGATGTTGCTGCCATGGCAGTTGTACATACCGAGAAACGATGGCCAGGCGCTCATTCCGTTGAACTATTCTCTGTTTCAAAGAGTGCGGAAGAGGCAGGAAAACAACCGATAGTTTTTGCTGTGGGAAAAACTGCCCTTACAACAGCTGCCCCACGGCAACCCGCGGAACCAATGGTGTTGCACTCAACTAAAATGTTGCTGTAAATTCCTTTGCTACTGCCCAGATGTTGGAGGGTCATGTTCCGCCAGTGCAAGGCCGTAGAACAGTCTTCATCGCACGTCAAACCAATGTGGCTCAGCATTCCTCGAGAAACGTCAACGTTGAAGACTTGCCGCGTGAGAGCGGCGCTGCGTGCTCAGCTGTGATCACAGCTCTCCACTTCGTTCTATTCTGATCGCTTGGGAGGCCAACCCCCGCTTTGTCATCACTGGGGTGGGCATGCACGCATGTACGGCATGTGCACCCGCAATGTAGTAGTCCTATGAAGCCTGCGTTCTCACAACGCACAAGCTGCTGCTTCTGCAGTGTGCACCGGAGCTCCCATGCACCGGACGATTTCAAGTGAAAACAGCAACACCCGTAAGGGAGACGTGCTTGATGAACGGTGGCGAATCCCCAGTAAACCCGTGACCTCTTGGCTGGACCATTTCCGCCGCACTGTATGACGGTAAAATCGCAAGCAACACTGCACTAATAGGTTTGCCACCCGCTCTAGCACGCGATAGCATAGGCAGTCAGAATATCGCAGACGCTAGCGTGACTCCGATAAATACCGCCACAAGGGTTGCCAAGACCACCTGCTACACCAGAGAATGTCGTTGGGCGAGACGGCGGCGAAGACGTGAGGATCATGGGTCGAGGAAACGGGGGGGTCAGGCCGCTTGGCGAAAGTGGGAAGCGCATGAAACGTCGGGCCCTATGATCCACACGTTGTACCTGGTGGCTGAAAAGGAAGCACCACAACTCCTTGCTAGCTATTTGCGGGGCTTTTAGAATTAGACTTCCAGGCAATCAGAGCGGTTTTGAGGAATGCAAACCTCTTATTGTCTGCATCCGAGGAAGCACAAGTACCTGAGAAAGCTTGCAATAGGAGATGCGCACCCCAGGGCAACAGCATTCCAGGTGGCCGCCAGGCTCCGTGTTCCCATCTCCGAAGCGAGGTGTCCATGAAGGTGGTGCTGGGTGTTCATGGTCCTCCTTCCGGTGCACATTATTGTCAAGTGTTTTTCTCACTGCTGTTGCCCCTCCAAGCGGAATAGGTTCTGGTGCCAATGCTGTATGCCCCCCCGGCATTTCTGCTGCTGGCGGCGGTTGTTGTCCTGCCGCCCTTCTCGCCGTCGAGGCGGTGTTGCTGACGCGTTGATCTGGTTTCTCCCTTTTTTTTCGGCGTCCGCGGGCGACAGGACAGTCCCCCGAGAGATTCCAAAGTGTGCTCGAGATAAACCTGATTATGAACCCGTCTTGCGTTAAACCGCGGGCGATTTGCCTTCCTGTGTCCGATTTGATCGAGCAGTTTGCTGGCCGACTCCTCGACGACACTGTACGGATAGATAACGCTGTACAAGGATCTTCAAGAGAAATTTCGGGGGTGTATCTACATATTCACTCGTGCTCCCATCGGTGGACGTTGTTTGGGGCCAAGACTTGCGCACTCTAATACGAGCCGATCACCACAACGAGAGTCCTGATGTGATCGTCGGGGTCAATCGCGTTGGGTAGGACACCTCCATACCCGAGCCAAGCTCGGGCTCATAGGGTACCGTGCGGGTTAATCGCCAAAAAATGAAAGATGGCGTTTGGTTCGTTTTAGTTATCGGATAGAATATCATCCGCGTGGACCCTCTTATCATCGGCATGGGTGTTTTTGCGCAGCCTTGCATTGACGCGTGTGCGCAATCATGGCTTCCGCCGGAGTGGCGCACTCGTCAGCAGTAGTAGCAGCAGCAGCAGAAGAAGAAGCAGCAGAAGTAGGAGGCGATGCCACTCCGTGCAACGTCGTCGCCGGCCCGCACCCTCCGGCGTCGTCGCCAACTGCAGCGGTAGACGACGCCTGGGGATCGCTGATCTCGATCATCGACGGCTTCCCCGCCTCCTTGGGACCGCTCCCAACCGCGCGCGACGAGGAAGTCAGGAAGTCCCTGGTAGCCGGGAAGCTGTCCGTCCTGCGCGCCGGCGGGCTGCTCGAGGTGCTCCGGGCCTACGTGCTCAGCGTGCTGGACCGGAAGGTCAGGACCGAGGTTACGCCGCTTTTTTGGGCGATCCTCGATGTCCCGGTCCCTGCCGGCGGTGTTGACAGTGGTAGCGGCGGCGGCGGCGGCGGCGGGGCGAAGGAGCAAGGAGCCGAAGGGGGCGGGGGGGGAACCACAGCAGCAGCGGCAGCGGCAGCGGGGGGTGGGGCGGGGGCTGAGAGCACAGCAGCAACGACAACGCGCCGAGAGTCTTACGGCCGCGTGAAGACCGCGCTGCTGTACGTGGCCGGAGAGGTAGAGTCCCACCTGTCTCTGGTCCGCCTGCTGGACGCAGCGGGTGACGACAACGCCGACGACCGCACCGTGCAGGCGCGGTATCGGTGCGCTTTCACCGCGCAGGTCATGGCCGGCGCCCGGGGGGACTTCCACGGCACCATGCGCGCCTTCTTCGACCGGAACCTCCGGTTCTGGCACCGCAGCTGGCTGGAGGAACGGCGACGGAGGCGGCAGCGGCGGAGATCCAGCGACGACGGGGGGGTAGAGGGGGGGGATGGTATGGACGTATCTGATGATGGCCTTGGTGCGGGGGAGGAGAACCGCGGTAGTGACGGTGCGTTGAATGCTCTGCTGTTGAATGCTTGTTGATGGGATGCTTGCACAATGCCTGACGTAATGCTCGTAGCTGCGAGAACCCGAGACACAAGAATTTTCGGATGAGCAATCATCATTTCATTTTTTTTAGTACATGACACGTGAATGCTCGCGAATATATTTTAACGGAACCGGACCGATACGTAGGACAATCATTTTGTAGGAACGGAAGAACTAACATAAGTAATCATATGTTTTAGCGGGGTAGAATCGGATAGACGCCCATCCTCCCACCAATCACATGTCGATATTGTAGGACATTTTGTAGGGCACGGTGAGACAGATGATGGGCTGATGGTCACCCCGCCGAGGGGGAATCCCCGAAAGACAGACGCAGCACAGCAGCAGCAGCACACACACACGTAGACAATACACGAAGCAACCAGCACAGCAGCACATGACTGCTGTTAGGCTAAGGGCAGCCAAAGGAACACATCACAGGAGGCGACACAGGTCAATATGCGGTCTGCCTTCGTCTAGCGGCAGGCCGATCTTTTGATCCACAACAGAAGCACCCGAAAACAGAGACCATGAGACGTCCACACTGCTGTAGGCCAAGGGCGACCAACTAGGGCGACCAATTACACACATAGAAGGCGTCGGGGGGGGGGGGGGGGGGGGGGGGNGGGGGGGGGGGGGGGGGGGGGGGGGGGGGGGGGTAGAGCCCGTTGCGTGCTGCTTACAGTGTAAGCGAGGGAAGCAAGGAGTACACATCCACACAGCAGCAGCAGCAGCAGCAGGCAGCTGTTTGATGAGAGCTTCGTGCGCACCAAACAAACCCTCTCAAGCGTTCCCGCGCTGCTACACATCAGATGTCCCGCATACACGTCTAGCTCGTGGTGTCAGGCGAGGTGTAAGCTTCTGCAGTGGCAGTGGTGGCCTCTGTATGATTGCGTAGACTCCACTACATCTGCTTGCCTCTCTCTCCCCGCCCCTTCTTTTTCGTGTTTCGAGCGGTGAAATATTTTCGTTGGTTTTGTGTGGGACCCGTATGTATGTAAGGTGAGCGTTTTTATCTAGTGTCGAAGTGCTGCTGAATGCGATCGTGTGCTTTTTGGGACAGGCGAGGGGGAAGAGGAGTCGACGGGCCAAGAAGCCGGAGGCGGGGGCACTGATGGCGCCGCCACCGAGGTCGCGTATTCTTCGGACAAGGTTTGTAGTACACCCCGTGTCTCAAGGTGCCCCGTTGATGCATATTCTAGTACCCCAGCTGGTGCTACCATTACTCAAAACCCTCACAACAAAGACGTGAATAGATCCCCCTTGGTGATTTCCCAGGACAAACTTGGCCCTCTGTTAGAGCATGTACTGCCCGAGAGAACAAACTACCGTGGGTGGCATGTGACCTCGGTCCATATGTTCGCGTGTGTGCGTGAAGGTGGAGGAGGAGGAGGAGGAAGAGGAGGAGGAAGAAGAGGAGGAGGAAGAGGAGGAGGAAGCAGAAGAAGAATCAGACGTTGGGGAGGAAGACGACGGGGACGACTTTTCCGACATGAGCCGAGAGGAGCTGTCGGTGCTGTGGGGCGTGTTGAAGGGGCTGGGCTGGTTCTCCTTTCTGCAGGAGGCCTTCTCCGGGGTCATGTTCTCCAACGTGCTGGCCTACGTCAGGAGGAGGTCCGTGTGAGGCGCTTTTGTGTGTGCTTCTTTCGCTGGCATTAGCAGAGTGACCAGTTCGCCAACGGAAGGGGCATCACCCTTATAGGCGGCATGGATGCATTTTTTTGTGTGTGTGTGCGGTGTGGGATGCACACTGCTTGCCCTTGTCCGCCCCGCCCTGGCCGCTTGCTTTGTGTAGCGTTCCAGAGTCGGGAATATGTGGCTCGTTGGGTAGAAGTCACAACGTCTTCTTATGCAAAGGCAAAACAAGCGCAAGCACTGCAACAACCACCACAACAACAACATACCTTTTGTGAAGAAGAGGCGCTTGGTAGAGGTCGGCATGGTTTCAAGCACAAAGACAATCAACAACAACAACTACTCCGCCACCACCAACAATTAATGAAAACATCAGCATCAACATCAACATCAACATCAACATCAACATCAACATCAACATTTAACATCCAACAATTTGCCCTCTTGCTTGCTCGTTCATGATTAAAAGCCCAACCCTTCTGATCTTGTTATTCCGTCGTCATGTTGTTCCTTAGGTCTTTTTTTAGCCCGTTTGGGTTAACCCGTATGGGTTAGCTCTGGGTGTACCAGCCAGCGTTCGGCACAACAGTAGTATATATTAGAGCAAGTCATTCAGCGGGGCATGCCTGTCAGTTGTTGTTTCTTCAATTGTCGCGAGAGAGAGACGTTCAGCGATCGTCCCCCTCCCAGTCGTTCGCACCCTTTCGAACATGGCTGCAGGCGGGTTGGGACCAAGAAGCGGCCGCCCGATGACACACATAGTCGCCTTGAGGGCGCAGCGTCAGGCGGAATGCCCACGGTATTCCCATGATATTCCATGGCACACGTGTACCCGTCGGGTATTATATTATTAATAGTAGGTTTCAACAAGCCGAGGCTTTTCTCTTTTCGCGTAAGAACGATATTGAAGGGACGGGGGCACCCACCGCCTAATCGAACAAATGGATGCCAAAAACGTCGTCCTAGGTGCGACGGCGTGTACGACCAGCCCGTGCTAGACCACGTCATGAGGTGGAAGGACGAAGTACTCCTTCGGTGGACAGCTCTCCTGCTCAACGACGATGGCGAAGGACGGGG